ATACTTGAGCTTAATATAGGGTAGCTGGGTGAAATTCTCTGGCCTGTGATTCAGACTAGAGATGATCTAATGGTCCCTTCTAACCTTAAACTCTGTGAAACTATTAAACCAACCAGAGACTCCAGCTGGGAGGAACAAAAGCAGCCAAAACAAGGACCTTTGGACAACCAGAGAACTGCCCACAGTTTTGGTTGGACTCTCTCTGCCATATGCTGATTGGCTGTTTGCTCTAACCCTCTACCTCCCTCACACTCTCTTCATCCTGCTTCACTCTACACCTGTCTCTCTTACCATCTCCTCCCCGCCCTGTCCCCCCATCATCCTTTTCTTCCCATTTAGCCTCTCCGCTCCGAAATAAAACCTCCCCATCCCCCCAAAATCATTAAACTAACATGCTATTTGCTGCCATCACATAGATTGCTCTGCCTGTGAAGGATACCCCTTCCCCCGTGCTGTGTCTGTCTGATCTATTGAGATTGTAAGATCTTAGAGGCAGAGTCTGCCTGCTACTCTGTTTGTGCAGGGCTTAGCACAATGGGGTACCATTCTTGGCTGGTCCTTAGGCACTACCATACTAAACTTGATGAACAACAACAATAATAGTGCTGCATTGTAACATCTCTGTGTTACATTGTGATATCATAGCACTGTATTTTGATGTCATAGTGCAGCATTATGATGTCATTGCATTGCCTTGCAATGTCCTAGCACTATATTATGATGTCACTGTGTGAGACTGTGATACCATCATGCTAGCTGTATTGTGATGTTAGTGTGCTTCCTCATGATGTCACAGTGCTGTATTGTGATGTCACTTTGTCACATTCTGATATCACATTGTGATTAGCTGTGTTGTGATGTCATAGTGCTGCATCGTGTTGTTACAATGCCGTTGCACCCCAGGAAAATGTCAATAACTGGCATGGATAAAAGCCAGTAAGGCATTGTCAAAACATCACCCAATTGCACTAGAATGTCCTCCCGGTGGTAGTGCAGAAATGTCACCCTGGCAGCACATGCAAAGTGCCCTCGCTGTGGCACAGCACCACAAGCTGGTGTCCATATGCTGCTGCAGCATCGAGCACAACAACATCATGACAACCCAGGCAGCAGCATGGCACATGGAGGGGATGCTGTGGCATCTTATGGTCTCCCCAAATTCTCCTGGCAGCTGCCAAAACCCCACAAACCGAATCTTCCACAAGGAAAGCAGGAAGATTGTGGAGAATTCACGATGGGCAGCAGCTTCAGCTGTGGTTAGACAATTCCTTTCCTATACTTGTTCTGTGTTTGTACAGCTCCTAGCACAATTGGGGCCTGGTCCGTGATTGCAACTCCTAGCACTACTTCAATACAGAGAACAAATAACAATAGTGTGACATTCTATACTTTGGGGGACAGTACTGTAACCCGCATATTCCTCATTTTCATATAATCGTGATCTTACGTATAAAGCATGTCTTGTAAGGTATCAGGGGAAAGGTTATGATCTGCTGAAAGTCATTTCTCTATCCATATATGCGCATCATTATTGCATATGAAGTTATGAGAATTGTGTTGTATGATGGTCACTAAAACATGCTGTAAATTGCGGAATCAGCCAGATATTAGCTCCCCAGAGGCAACAGGTGGGGTGTCAAACAACCCATCAAGAGCCATTGTCCAGCAAGGGAGCTACAATGCAATGACTCACCTGCATGAGGCCACACCAGGGAATTGCTCAACCTTGCTTGGGGAGACTCAGCAATGCCCCCCTGCCATGCCTGGACATGTGCTCCCCAAACACATGGACTGAGTGTATAAAATAGATGGAGTGGACACATACTGGGCCCTTCTCCTGCCCCCACCTTCGCTGCAAGCAACTTAGACACTGAGAAGAAGACAAGACTCCAACAGAGGAGATTGGCCCAGGTTTAAGGAACAAACTGTATATTAAGGACTGCAATATCCAATGGGGTAAGAAAAACTGCTTAATCTAGATGTTGCCCAGTCTAATAGGGTTGAGAGTTTAGACTGCGTCCTTATCTTTTATTTTCTTTTGGTAACTACTCTGACTTTTTGCCTTCATATCACTTAAAATCTATCTTTGTAGTTAATAAATTTGTTTGTTTATTCTACCTGAAGCAGTGCGTTTGGTTTGAAGTGTGTCAGAGGCTCCCCTTGGGATAACAAGCCTGGTACATATCAATTTCTTTGTTAAATTGATGAACTCATATAAGATTGCGGCGTCCAGTGGGCATAACTGGACACTGCAAGACGGAGGTTCCTAGGGTTGTGTCTGGGACTGGAGATATTGGCTCGTGTCATTCGGTTGCACAATCCAAGCAGCAGCTTACATCCCAGAGGCTGTGCGTGAACAGCCCAGGAGTGGTGGATTAGGCTGGCAGGGTAAGGCTGGCTCCCAGAGTCAAGGATTGGAGTGACGTAGCAGATCACCAGTCCGGATAACACCAGAGGGGAACGTCACAGTCATCTTATTTTCTAACCATAATAATCTTATTTTCCATCTGCCTCCAACAGGCAACTCCACAGGCTCCTCAGCAATCACAAAATCAGTGGCCAGAAGGGAACAATCAATTCCAACATTTCAGGGACTGTTCTAGGTCTCAATGGGCAGTACCCTCTGGATTATGGGGAAATTCAGAAAACCAGAAGAGCCCAGTTTCCACTACAATAAGGCCAATTTGGTGCAGCAAGCAGAGGAAGCTCTGTGGAGCAACCTGCTGCTGCTTAGGAAAATCACGGCAGTAACATGATGCTGTTCTTTCTCATCAGATGTACAGCCTGGCCTTCACCAGCAACGAAATAATAATGTACAGCACCTAGCACAATGGAGCCCTGTCCCGTGAGTGGGGCTCCTAGGCACAGCTGAAATGCAAATCCCAAATACCAATGCAAGCTTCTGAACACCCACACCCGCTGTGAGAGTTTGTGAGCTGTGACGGAGTGATCAAAGGGCATCAGCACTGAATGGCTGTCTCCTGGGGAAACAATCGGGTAGCTACCGGCAATGCCAAAGGGAATTGCTCTTCCCAGAAGCCTGAACACACGGCTCCACCTGATCCACAGGGGCAGAGACTGTGCTTCTCCCAGCCAGAGGGTGGCATTTCCATGGCCACTGACACAAGGCCCAGAAGGAACGCTTGCCTCCACAAAGGGCTGGGACCAAACCCAGGGCCTTGTAAAGAGGGCTGAGGTTAGAGAGAGGGGATGGGGTGCAGGAGTTTGCTGTTTCCCATAGACCTGTAACTCTCCAACGCTTTCAGAGAGAGTGTGTATGTGTGTGTGCGTGCGTCCCTGCTGCCCCTGGCTGGAGGGAATGAGCCCTGCTTTGTGTGCAAGCTCACACGCATGCATAAGAAATTCCTTTGCTAAATCTGTGCATTTCCTTCCTTTGCTGCTGAGTTATCCCTGAATGGTGTAACTAGGAAAACCCAGGGTTCCTACAGCCAGGTAGATGCCAGGGGAGAAATATATAAGCAACTTGGGGACTCGGGAGGACTGGGGCACTGTTTCCAGGGTCTAGGCAGCTGAAGTCCCACTGCTCAAGAAGGATGTCAGAAATGGGGTATAACCCTGGGAGACCCCGCACAGGGACAGGGATCAGACCCAGGCAAGGGGCTGAGCAGCATGTGGGATCCAGCAGTTGGAGCCCATCACAACAAACCAGTGCCCATTTGGAAACCAGGATTGGACCAGTTTGTGACCCCAGGGTGTTAGCAGGTGGCTCTCCCACCTGGCTACTTAATATAGGAAACACACGCTGCATACGGTCCATACAAACCCCAGTCTTGGACCATTGCAGTCAGTACTACTTCAGGAGGAAGAGCATCCCATTGATTCCTCAGCATGGCTTCTGGTCAGCTGATATTGCTATGGCAGGGGGAGTGTCACCAGATAGCGCTGTCACACATAGCCTTACAAGTTATTTTCCCCAGTATTGAGTCTTTGAAACCACACTGTATCATTGTTGGTTTTGTGATGTACTTATTTTCTTTCCAGATATGCTGCTGTTGCAAGCAGCAAGAGAATTTGCTCTTTGCTTTAATCTTTTTAAACCGCATCAGTTCTGGGGGGCAGAGCAGCTCCCAGGGAACTGGGCATGGGTGTTTGGGTGGAGTTTACAGAAAGAAGGGATTGTCTGCAGTGCTGTTTGTGTCCACCTCTGTTCCAGGACTGGTGCATATAGCACAGGGGATAAACAAGCTACACTAAGAAAATATCCACTGATTCTGTCTCACTTACTTCTCCTCTGATAGGAAACCAATTTACAAGGTTCTGACACCAGCTATAGCCGAGGGGCAGCAATATTAAATAGGTGCATTTCAACAGAGGTCACACAAAAGGCTTTCCATGTCAAAACTCTTCCTAGCAAAGGGGATTTTCTATGCAGCTAGTGGATATGGAGAAAGGTTAAGTATACAGAATAAAACACTGTCACGTTAATATGTGGTAAGCAAATTGATTCAAAGTCCAATCTACCAATTCTGCTCCAGCATTTGCCATGTGATGAGCCATGTGTAAATCAATTGTGAAAAGCACTGCAAACAGGTCAGTTCCACGGTAGTATTGGATACGTGCCGGAAAGAGTTAACTACGCCAGCTCTCTAAGGGTTTACAGTCAGCCTAGTGGGAAGAAATGTCTCCCCTCTTCATCCTGTGGCAAATGAACACCAAAAAACTAAAAATCCAAGCTGGAGAATCCTAGATAAAAAGGACCCTTTCAAGATTTTGCTTCTGTGATAAAAAGCTGGTTGTCTGGTTCTATATCTATCTAGTTCGGTAGTGGGGCCTATCATGCTAGTATCTGAGCCTCCCACACATTAATAGATTTATTCCCATAACCCCCATGGGGCAGGGAAGCATCATTAGCCCCACTTTACAGATGGGGAAATTGAGAACCAAGCGATGAAGTGACACGCCCCAAGTCACACAGGGAGCCAGGATTTGAACTCAGGTCTCCAGCATCCCAGTCCAGTGCCTGACACAAGAGCCTGTATTTAGAATTTGGTTTCCTTGGTTCCCCTGGCTTCTTTCCTCAGTTCCTCTTTCTTGCTCCTTTTCTTTCTTGCTCTGAAAACAAAGGGAGAAGAGAAGAACAAAAGCACCAAACAGCTGGATCATTAAAAATAACACTTAATCATTAATGACTCTTTGTCCTTTCATCCAAGACTTGTGTAAAGTATTTAAGATCTGTCCTTCTATCCATCCCCATATACACCTCCTAGATAGCAAGCTATCCATCCATCGCCATGCACACACACACACACACCCCTTGCATCTGAAGAAGTGAGGTTCTTACCCACGAAAGCTTATGCTCCCAATACTTCTGTTAGTCTTAAAGGTGCCACAGGACCCTCTGTTGCTTTTTACAGATTCAGACTAACACGGCTACCCCTCTGATACTTGACACACCCCTAGTCATCCCAAACACCCCAGCTATCTATCCAGCCATCCCCATACACACCACCCCTCTATCCATCCACACACACTGCATCCATCTATCTATCATACATTCACACACCTGTGTCCATGTACACACACTCTCAGGTTCGCGCACATACACTCATGCTCAGACACACACAATCCTGCCCCCAGCCCTCACACAGTGCCCATCATACCCACCTGTCCTCCACCTGCTTCATCGTGTTGGCTAGTGGGACCCCCAAGGTCTCTGGTAAGCAATTGACCAGGATGCCAGCTGTGATGGGCGCTGCCCCGAACAGGAGCAGGGGCAGGAAGGAGACAAAGGCCTGGGTCATCTGCATCATGGGGGCTGCCACCGCTCCCAGCCGGGCCATCATGTTGGTGACCCCCAGCCCTGTCTGCCTGGGGAGAAGGGGAAGCCACAGAGAATTGAGCAATCCCATTAAGGCTGGATACGTTATACAAATGAGCAGATGGTCTAATTTGCATATTTTATGAATAAGCAACTGTTTATTTGCATTACCCCCTTGCAGTCAAATCTATTAATTCCCACTCCAGACCCATCAGTTCTCAGCTCCACCTCCCCTCCCTCCATCAAGATCTGCCCCAAGCACAGGTCCTGGGCTCTCCCAATGGGACACTGAAGCAGCCGCTTGAGACCCCAGGTGGGGGAAGCTGAAATCAGGAGTGTCCCAGCCAAATGGGGAGGCTCAGCAGGATCTGCCCCAGCAGGACCAGAGGGCGCAGACAAGCGGAGACACCCACAGAGCTCAGCAATGTCCCAGCTGAGGAGGGACTGGAACAGCTAGCTGAATGAGGGGGGAACCCCAGGGAGGGACATCTTGGACCTGAGCAATGGGACCCTTAGGCTGGGCCTCAGGGCATCATTCCTCACCATGCGGGGGTATTAGATTGAACATCCCAAGTCACTAGACTCCCAGCCCTGCTCCCTGCGCTTCAAGCAATGCTGCCTCCATTGATGCTGTCCAGCAGAGGGCCCCGCCCCACTCACCTGATGACAGTGGGGTAGAGCTCAACGGTGTACAGGTAGGAGCAGCTGGAGGAGGAGGAGAAGAGCCCTTTTCCCAGGACAGTCAGGGTAATCAGCAGCACCTCCATGTCTAGGGGGAGAGAGGGGAAGAGGACCCAAAATGCATCAGGCTGAGAAGAGCCCCCACCCCAATGCGCTGTATCCCCTTTTGCTCTGGGGGTGCCTGTCGCTAACTCAGAGACCCAGCATTGGGTGATGGGCAGCCCAGGACCAAACCCACCATGCTGGGGCTGCATGGCGCCATAGCTGGGCTGGGGTACTGGTCACTTACCAGTCCCTTGGGCCACCTGTAGGGCTACTATCTCGGCCACTGGCCAAACCTCCTTCCCACCACCAAAGCCACCCCAGCTTCCACCGCACCATCACCGGCTCAGTTTCCTGCACAGCAGGGAGGACGGGATACCAGGCTGGATGGGCCCATTGGTCTGATTTGAGATGGCAGGGAGTGGGGGCTACCGGGTCTGATCTGGGCTGGGCTGCATGCTGGTGAAGCCCAGGGCAGCGGGGAATGCTATGCCGACTTGGCCGAATGCCCTGGTCTCACCATGCGGCACGGGGATGCTGGCCAGGATGAAGAGTCCCCCCAGGACCAGGCAGGCAGACTGCGTGTGCCGGCGCCCCAGGCGGTTGACGACCACGGCCACCAGCATGCGGAAGGGAATGTCCACAGCGCCAAAGATCAGCTGCACCAGGAAGATGCTGATGCCCCTGAAGCGCTGTAGGTCCAGGGCCAGGTGGTAGTAAGAGAAGCTGTTGGAGAACCTGCCGTATGGGGCGGGGAGAACTGGGGTGAGGGGGGCTCAAATGGGGAGAGAGTCTGGCTGTCTCCCAGCCCCATTCCCGTCTGTTTGTCTCTCCCTCCCTCTTCCGTCTGTCTCCCCTTCATGTCTGTCTCTCCCCCTCCTCTGGTCTGTCTGGTTCTCCCTCCCCATTTCTGTCTGTCTTTGTCTCCAGCTGCTCTGGGGTGGGGGGAGACTTTCCTGTTCACATGGGGGGATCCCCACAGGGTTTTGTGACACCCACATTTACTTCCAGGGGGTTCCCCCACTGGAGAAACTCCCTGCCTAATTACAAACCCAAACACTTGGGGGCCAAAGCAAAGTTGAGCTTCCCCCATGCCTCCTCTTAGCTGAAGTCAGTGCTGTGGGGATAAACACTCTGCTCCCATCCTGGCCATGGAATCCTCTGGGGGGCTAAGCAGCATGGGGACTAGAACTCAGATCCTCCAGCCAGCAGTACAGGGGCTCTGACACACAGCTGCCCCTAAGTCTCACCCCCTGCCATCTGAGCCCGAGGGGAATCCCCCTCCTCTGCTCCTAAGTCTCACCTCGTGCCATCTAAGCCCTGGGGAATCCCCCTCCTTGGCCAGCAGTATAGGGGCTCTAACACATAGCTCCCCAAAACCTTGCCCCCTGCCATCTAAGCCCATGGGAATCCCACTCAACAGGAGACAATGGTGCAACCACACTCCCCAGTCAGTTCATTGCACTAGTATTATTAGCCTGGGGGTACTGATGGGGGCAAGGGGAGCCCCTTACCAGGCCAGCATGAGGCAGCCGGTGACTCCACGCATGGGCGCTGTCCGGAACAGCTCCAGGGCAGAGCGCCGTGAGGGCCCTGAGCTCTCTTCCTCCTGCTGCATCTCCAGCCGCAGTGTCTGGGGAGGGAGAGAAGGTTGGAGCTGAGAGCAGGGTGGAGAAATCACACCTCTTCTCCAGAGGGGGAGATGGGCAGATCCAGGGAGAGAGAACCCTGCGGCTTGACACCCAGCCCTCCCCACCTCTAACCACTAGACCCCACTCCCCTCCCAGAGACAGGCATAGAACCCAGGAGTTCTGACTCCCAGCCCCCCCATCTCTAACCACTAGACCCCACAGGGTACCCTGTGCCCCTCACCTCCAGGGAGATGCCCTCCCCCTCCAGCTTCTCGCCGTTGATCCGGGCCACCCGTCGCAGGTTCCTCAGTGCCGTCTCAGGCCTGTGGTTGACGATGAGCCAGTGCACGGACTCTGGAATCCACCTGAGGGGGGGGGGGTTGGACCAGGGCTCAGAGAGAGAGAGGAGGGCATGGTGCCTGCTGAAGACCGGGCACCCATGTCCCCAGGGCTCTGGGCAACAGATCTGGGATTCTGTGCTTCCCTGGCCGTTGGTCTATCAGGGGAACAGGGCTGCAGGGTCTCCATTTGGACCAGGCGACAGGCTACCGTGGGTGTGCCATGGGGTGTGGGCCCCCTCTGGGCTCCCAGACAGAGTCCTACGGCTCCTGAGCCCATAATGCCATCCCTGCCTGGAGTCGTGGCTCCCTGTGGATGTGTGCCCCTCAGCCCCAAGGGCACCTACCAGCTGTAGAGGAAGAAGAGGAAGAAGGGCACCGAGGATGCCAGCTGCAGCTGGCGCCAGTCCCGGATGGCGTATGCCAGTCCAGCCAGGAGCAGCTGGCCCAGCGTCAGGCTGCAGGCGAGGATGGTGTACACCATGGCCCGGAACCGGGATGGGATCCACTCCAGGGCTGGGGGCGATGGGTAGGGTGAGACGCGGCACCCTCCAACCTCACCCTGCCTGCCCAACCTTGGGGAGCAGAGCTCAACCCCGCACCCCTCTGCGCTGGGTGGGCCCAGGGTGGGGCAGTGGGGGGAGAGCTGTCCCCCATGCACCCACACATAGAGCCCGCCCCCACTCTTCCCTCCCCTCCCCAAACAACCCAAACAACCTCCCTCACATTTCCCCCTGCCACACAGCCCCCCAAAATCCCACACAGTCCCTCCCACACAAAGCCCCCCATCATAGCTCCCCCACAGCCCACACCACCAGCCCGCCACAAACATCTCCCCTTACATGTCCCCCACTCTTCACACCCCCCCAATCCCCCAAGTCCCCCACCCCCAACCTCATACTCAGCCCCCCCATGCCAGCTCCCCGCCCCCAGGCCCTCCCCCACTCACTCAGGCTGCTGCCGTTGAGGATGGAGCCCGCGGTACCCATGCCACTGAAGAAGCGGAAGGCGCAGTAGGCTGCCAGGTTGGGGGCGAAGGCGGCACCGGTGCCCATCACACCCATCTGCAGGAGGGACCAAAGCAGCAGTGCCCGGCGTCCTAGTCTGCAGCAGGGGAGACAACACCATGGGAGAAAGGGGGGATACGGGCTGGATGGGTCCATGGGGCTGATCTGGGGGGGCAGGTGGGGGGGATACTAGGCTGGATGGGCCATGGGGCTGATGTGTGAGGGGGTCCCAGCTGGATGGGTCCATGGGGCTGATGGAGGGGGATACCAGGCTGGATGGGCCCATGGGGTGATCCAGGGGGGCAGGGAGGGGGGATACTGTTTTACTCACCTATCCGCCAGGCCCCCGTAGACCAGTGCTCCCACCAGCACCCCCGCCATGTAGATGGACTGGGCAAAATCCTTGAGAGCGCGCTGGCCACAGACCAGGTGCCACTGGGGAGGAGTGGGGAGAGGGGTGTGAATCCAGGGGTGCCCCATGGCACTCTGCACTGCTGGGCAAAGGGCTGACTGCATAGTCAGATGGGCTTCAGGGACACAGCTGGCACAAAGTGCCAGGAACCACACCTATGTCTCCTCTGCCCACCTGAGCTACCTGAGCCCTGGCTAGTAGCTGTACCCTGGCAGCACCTAGAGGCCAGGGCCCTGCTGTGCCAGGCATATGTCCAGCTGAGCCTCCCACATCAGTCTGTGCCCAGCTGTGCCACCCACACACACTTGTGCTGCCCATGCCTGTCTATGACAGGAATACCCAACTGTGCCATCCATGCCCACCTGAGCCCACCTCCGTCCTCTGAGCTCCCCCCATTCCACCTAAGCCCCATCTGAGCCCAACTCTGGTCTCCAAACTCCAGCACCCTCCTGTGCCATTCAAAGCCACTGATGGGTTCTGAGTGCCCCTTTGTGCCCCTTCCCCATTTGCCACTGGCCCATCTGAGCTCACCTGCACCCACCTGGACCCACTTCGTCAGAGCCCTGCTGGGCCATCCCAGCTGTTCCTCCTGTCCATCCCCACCAGTGCCACCCCTGCTGTCCCTGCTGCCCACGTCCACCTGTGCCACCCCTGCTGTCCCTGCTGTTCACCCCCACCTGTGCCATCCCAGCTGCCCATGCTGTCCATGCCCATCTGTGCCACCCAAAACCTCCCTTGCATGCCCACCTGTAGCTCCCATGCCCACCTGAGCCCTGGGACCCTCACACCTTGTGCCCAAGCCTGCCAGCACCCATGCCCTTTAAATGCCCTCTGTCCCTTTTATGCCCTGCTGATTCCACCACACTCCCGTGTACCACCCATTGCTGCCAACAAAACCCTTATCCCCGCCTTGGCCTGGCGCTGTCCACGCAGCCAGGACTGGAGCTGAGATTCCACAGTCCCGCACAAGGGCTGGGGGGACAAGACAGCGTCCCTCCTCCCCTGCCAAATCTGGGGTCTGGAATGATGGGTGGGGCCAGGACCAGGGGCTCATGGGTTGTTCCAAGCGGGTTACTGTGTAACCCAGCTGGGCATGGGGCAGCTGGCAGCATGACATGTCACAGGTGTGCTAAGAACAGGAGAAGGGATTGGCACAGGATCCGCGCCAAGGAAAACACCAGGACTGTCATCCATTATCCCGGCTCTCAGAGGGGTGACTCAGGCTGAATTTCTGCCACAGCAGGCCCCTGTGGGCTGGCAGGAGGGGCTCAGAGGCACAGGCCCTTGGCCAGCGCCAGGAGGGGTGATGCCAAGGCAGAGGTGCCATCTTTTGGGGAGGGATATTAAGCCTCCCACCCCTTGTGTGGTGACTGGCCAGTGCCCACCCTGTAGAGCAGGACTGAGCACGGGCACTGCTCCATGGCACACCAGCCCCTGCTGAGCCCCCCCCCCCCCCCCCCCCCCCCCCCCACCCCCCAGCACTGTGCTGGGGTACTGGAGTCAGCACTGCCTGCAAGGAGGCAGTGCCCCCTACTAGGTCCCCCCACCCGGCTCCCTGAAGCACAGAGCCTCTTGGTGCCACGCTGAGGCCAGCACCAATTCAGAGGGGAGAGTGCTCCCTGCTGAGCCACCCAGCTGGCTCCCTGTGGCACGGCGTCCCACACTGCTGGGGTCAGCACTAAGAGCACTCCCTAGGGAGCCACCCCCCTTCTCCCTGCAGCAGCACAATCAGTGCAGACTCCACAGGAAAAGCAGCCCCTAGTGAGCCCCCAGCCTGGCTCCCCAGAGAAGCTGGGCACTCCGTCAAGGTCTCCAATCCGACTACTGAACTAGCTGGGCCTTGCTTAGGTGATGAAACCTCTGAGGGGGCATCTCAGGGTCTCACTGAGTCATCATGGAGCTTGGCCAACCAGGCAGCCTCCAGGCTACCTCCTCCCACCTCCAGCTGGCTCAGAAGCCCCGCCTGTGTCACCTCCTGGCTGGCATTGACTGCGCAGTCAATGCAAGGGCTCCCTCTAGTGAGTTAGGGCAGCATGGGGGTCCCTGCACCACAAGGCTGTGAGCACCCACCCTTTGCTTGAGGCCCTGCCAGGGCACAGCCTTGGTCCTGGTCTACAAAGGCATTCATGGATCAGATTATAGCTACAGTGGAGACATCTCCTCCATTTAGGGCCGGCCAAGGCAGGGAGCTCCTGCAGGGCCACGGCGACCACAAAGCCCAGGCTAGCTGCCACAGAGATAAGGCATGGCCAGCCAAGTGGTTCAGGCCTAGGGGAGAACTTCCAGAGGACATGAAGCTAAGCCACAGCCCGATAGCCCCACTGCTTGTTAGATAACCCTTTGCCACCAAACTGATCCAACAGCCCCCTACATCAAGCACAGTCTGTATGCCCCCAAGAGGAAGGAGAGCCAGAGATGCCATGTAGTCCAGTAGGCACCTTGCTATGCCAGTCTAATGCATGAGACAGGCTCAGATACTATGGGTGAGAGCACAAAACCGAGGGGGAGGGGTGGATGGATGGATAGGTGGTTGGATGGGGACATAGATAGATGGGTCGGTGAATGGATAGGTGGATGGATAGATAACCAGCCTGTGATGTTGTCACAGCTCCAGGTCCCCGCTCCCCTGGAATGATCCCTCACGCTCCCCTCTGTACCTCCGTGATGATGGTGGAGTTGAAGACACTCCTGTCGTACACCCACCCATCCAGGCAGGGCTCAGTGGCATTGGTGCTGGTGCCATTGGGGGCCAGAAGCTGCCACTGTGGGGTGCTGAACCGCAGGCACCTGTCTGGCTCCTGGTTGCCATCCATAGGAATGTAGATCTTCAGCAGGTCTCCAGTCACCTCTGTGGTGTCATTGTCTCCCGCCGGAATGTAGCACCAATGCCTGGGGACAGCAGCTGTGAAGTTCTGCAGGAAGTTATGGGAGGCCACCATGAGGAGAGGGAGGAAGATCAGGACGACAAGGATGGTTTGGAAGAAGCCCATACGTTGCTCCTTCTCCAGTTGGACGCCAGGGGCCATGGAGGCTGTGAGGAAACCTCTTCCTGACTGCCTGGTTGCTCTTCTTCTCCAGAGCCCCTGGCTCGTATAGCAGTCAATCTATGTGCCCTAGCCTGGCCTTTGGCCCTGGTAAATCTTTGACCAGCATCAAGGGCAGAGTCAGGTGGGAGGCTGAGAATGTGGAGGAAGTGGGAAAGGGAACAAGGTCCAGCAGAGGACATACTTCTCAGAAGCATTACTCATCTACTAAGGTGCTGGGGGGATGGGGCAAGTAGCCGGGTCATGAAATGGGACACAGACCCTTTCCTCTCTAGGGGGTGCTCGCAGCAATCCAGTCCCAGGGCGGGGTGCTGGCTTGGTAGGGGCAGTGGGGAATGGGATACTGGGGTATTTCCCTCTAGGGCTTGGATTCTGATTTGCCCCTGTGACTGATAGTCATTCCCAGGTGATGGCTCACATGGTCGGAAGCTGTGGAATCCACTGAGTCCCGCTCCAGTTCCCCCATGTCACGGACGCTTCTGAGAGCATGCGGCATTAATGAGCCACAGAGACCCAGTGGGCAACAGACAGGAGCGTTGTGTTTTGTGGGAGAGGATTTAACCAGAATGGGAGCAGACCCCCATCACAGCCTTCCCCCTGCCTGGCACTGAACTTTGTGGGTGGGTAGAGCCTAGAGACCTGGATTGAGAATGAGCGAGGTCCTGTACCAGGCGCGGCACAGACCCCAGCCGAGATCAGGGCCCCATTGTGCCAGGTCCTCCACACATCCCAACCCAGATCAGGGCCCCATTGTGCCAGGTCCATCACAGAACCCAACCGAGATCAGGGCCCCCATCATGTTGCATGGACACACAGTGAAAGATAGTCCGGTCCGGAAGACCTGACTATCCAAACAGACAAAAAACAGATTATTCTCCCTGTGACGGGTTGGACACCCCCGTCCAGGATGCCACCTGATGAGCTGGGGTTCCACTGAGCCCGCCCGTTCCACCAGCCTGGGCTTCCTCAACCTGTCCTTGCTGTGCCAGGCCTCAAGTCTTCTCTAGCACACACACAGGTGAGGCCACACCCAGCTGCAGACACAGACTGAAATCAGCTCTGTGGGAGGATTCAGCTCAGGACTTTATCCAGCACTCACGTGCACACCTCCTTTGGGGTGTAAACCCAAAATCACATTGTCTTTCATTGTATAGAGAGATCTGTACAGCCTAAGGTCATAAAATCGCCCCCTCAATGTGGAGAGAGATATGCACAGCTTCCCTCTCCCCGATATGAATTGCACAAACTGGGTTTTGAAATAAACAAGAAATAAGTTTATTAACTACAAAAGGTAAATTTTAAGTGATAATAAGGGATAGCAAACAGAACAAAGCAGATTACTTTAGTAAATAAACAAAAACACAAACTGAGCTTAATACACTAGATGGGTAGGATATAAATTAGCAAATTCTTACCCTGAGTGATAAATAGGCTGACAAATTCTTCAGGCACAAGTTGCTTTGGCTTTCCCAGGCTTTCATACACAGACTAAAAATCCTTCTAGCCTGTGACCATCACTTCCCACAGTTCAGTCTTTGTTCCTCAGGTGTTTCCAGGTATGTTGTTGTAGAGAGAGTGAGGTCCCCTCATAATGTCATTTTCCCCCTTTTATATCTTCTCCCCACTTGCTGGAAAGCTCCTTTGCTGTGACCTGGGTCAAACAGTTCCCATTGTGTAGTGCTATCTCTGAGAGGTTTCTATTGTACGCAGTTCCTGGGGTAAGCCTTGTGCTTGTGTGTATTTTCTCAATAAGCCATTAACATTGTTTGGCCTTTTTACTGTTGTACCTGAAAGGCTGCTTGTGGGTGTTCTCAACCTCAGGACATGTTTCAGTAACACATACATAGCCAAGCTTCAGAACTTCACATATGACGATAGAACATACAATCCAACGAGATATTACTGTCTAGCGGATCAAGACTTTTAGAACGATACCTCACAAGGCATACTTTGTACAAGACAAATCCTAATTACATGACGGTGGTGAATATTGGGGTGCCAGGGTGTCACTCTGGGCACCCCACATCAGTGGCCCCTTTTGTTCAAGGCGTTGCCCTATCGGCCAGCCCACATGCTGCCAAACAGCTGGGGCTCTGTTCCTGTGTGGCAGGCCATCGCCACTTCGCTTCTGTCAGGGCTCTGCTCTGCTTTGCATCCACAGCACTCAGCTGGCTGTGTCATCTCTCCAGATGGCAACCCTGGGGGTGGGCAGTGTGGTATCTCTGCCGGCAGGGGGCACCTCCTACACCCCCAGGAGGGATCGGGGCCAGGAATGCCCCTGCAAGCACCAGCCCAAGGAGATCTTCCAGTCCAGGGCCAGCCCGATAGCAAACTTGGGAGATCATCTAAAATCACCCTGGATAAGACCCACATGCACTTCTCACCTCCCCCTGCAGCCTAAACTGTGGGTCTGTTGATCTATCACTGCACATCCCTCTTCTCTGCCCCACCCCAGCCATTGGGGCACCCATCTCTGCCCCTCCAACCACCCATCCCTGGGGTGCCCCCAATCTACCCCTCCCTAGCCCTACACCTGTCCACCACCTCTCGGCAGCCCTGCCACCCCACATAGATTGGTGATTACTGTCTGGGATGATCAGAACAGGAGACTCACCTGGTATCCAGGGCTAGATTGTCCCCTCCAGTCTTCCCCCTAGGGGATCTAGTCTCCTACCACAGCACAGGGGTAACACGGGGGTGCTCATATCACCAGACACCCCTCCCACTTCTGCTAGTAGCCAGCACTTGACGCAGCTTCTTTAGGGTGTGGAAACTGCTATGTACATGGTCCCCAGCACCCCTGCAGGAGCCTGCCTGCCTCTGACCCCCATCATCCCCATGTGGGGAGAGTGTGGTGCATCATGGGAAAATGCAGTCTATCCTGGGAGCCCAGCCTAGAAGAGAATGAGTGCATGAGGCTGCACCAGTCAGGGATTCCCAAGATGCATTCCCTTCCCATCTACAAGAGGGGAGACCATGGTGCATCATGGGAGATGTAGTCTGGCCAGGGCACCCAACTCACAGAGAAGAAAGGAGCAGGAGGCTGCCAAACTACATCTCCCATGAGGCACTGCAGTGGCATTTCAGAATCAAAATACTTAGATTTTTGCCGAAAATATCAACACTTTCTGGAGGGAGAAACATGCCCCCGCCTCTGTTTCCAGAGGAGCTCCAGCCCTGACTCCATGGGGTGGTTGGTGTGCAGGGATCAGGGACATGGAGCAAGGGGAATTTCTTAGTGTGGCTGAGTACATTTCTTAGTACATTTACAAAATGTACAGAAGGCCACAGGAACGAGTGCAGGAAATCCCCCCCCACACATCCTGTCCCTGCTGCCTGGGGGCTCGTACCCCACATAGAGGGGTCACTCCAAACTCCAGCCCCATTGGTGAATGTTACAGTTTGGATCCAGCCGCCACACCTCCTGTACAGCCTCGCTGAGCTGCCTAGCTGCCCCCCAGTCCCCTGCACCTAATGGGGAGCCCTCGATGCCTTCAGAGCCCCCAGGCCCTTCTCCCCACTCTGCTCAATTTGCCCCAAAAGGGGTCAGAGCATCAGTTCGGCCGCAGGATCCAATCCAAGCCCAGCTTGGTAGTGGCTCATCAGCAGCTATGAAATCTGTTGGCTGGGTCTCAGCTCGCAGTAGGACAGAAACCTGCATCGCATGAACCATCATTGTTGGCTGGACGGGCCACAGACGCTGAGCTCCCCTCCCCCAGTAGGGAGGGTCACTTTAGAGGGGTGGATGTCAGGCCAATACACGCAACCAGAGGGAGCCAGTTCACAGTCCTGCCAGGCCAGAGGGACGGGCGGGTGTCAGGCCAATATACATCACCAGGAGGAGCCAGTTCACAGCCCCACAAGGCCAGAGGAGGGGTAGGGGTCAGGCCAATACACACCACCCGCGGGAGACAGTTTAAAGCCCCACCTGGCTGGAGGGCGGGGCGGGTGTCAGGCCAATATTCACCACCAGAGGGAGCCAGTTCACAGCCCCACCAGGCTGAAGGAAGGAGCGAGTGTTAGGCCAATACATACCACTGGGGGGAGCCAGTTGACAGCCCTGCCAGGCCGGAGGGAGGGACGGGTGTCGGGCTAATACACACCAGCAAGGGGAGCCGGTACAGTCACACCTGGCAAAGTTGTTCAGGGAGGTGTCTCCCTGCTCTGTCCATGCCCCACAGGCTGCCTGCATGTGTGGCGTAGGGTCCCCCACTAGGGGGCAGCTCAGTGGCACAACTCAGACTCCCCCGCCCCCCCATTTGCCCTGATTCCTAAGTTGCAAAGGGAGCAGCAGGTGGTTCCTCCCTTCACGTGGGCCTTTTGGTGCAGCCTCCACCTGTGCATTGGGGGGGCCAGGACTGGGGGCTTTGGGGGCGGGGAAGGCTGCTCAGATCCTGGTTGAGTGGACAATGTGAGCCACGGTCTCCCCGGCGATCGCCTCCTCGCCTTTCCTCCTGGCTCTGGAACAAAAGAGGGAGGGAGTGAAAAGGATGGAAAGGGCAGGTGGGAAGGGATTGACGGGGAAGGAAAAGAGGTTTGCAGGGGGAAAGGGCAGCGGGAGATGTACCCCAGCAGCCCGTGACTCACACCTGTCCTCCACCTCTTCTATGGTGTCCAGCAGGGGGACGTTGTGCATCTCTGGCAGGAAGCAGGCGGCGATGCCGGACACGATGGGAGCCACCCCGAATATCACCAGCGGCAGGAAGGGAAATTGCTGCCCGGCCATCAGCACCACCGGGGCCACCATGCCGCCCAGACGAGCCATCACGGTGGTGAAGCCAGTGCCTGTCTGCCTGCCAGACACAGCGCGCTGTGAGAGACTCGTAACAATAACAGCACGCCCCGCACAGAGATGCAGCCGCCCCTGGGGAGGGGCGCAGGGGCTGTTTATACAATCACAGAGATGGGGAATCCCAGTCCTGATTTTACCTGACAGCAGTTGGGAAGAGCTCTCCCCCATACAGGTAGGAGCAGACAGAGGAGGCAGCCAGGCATCCTTTCCCCAGCACTACCAGAGCCAGTCGCACCATCAGCATCTCTGGAGAGGGGAGAGATGGGCATGTGGAACTGGCCTTCCCGGAGATCACAAAGCCCAGTGCACGTTTCAGTCACTGCAGTCCCACGGCACAGCTGCCGCATGAGCCATGCAAAGAATCATGGCAGCATTTCACAGTGGGGAAACTGAGACATGGGTGAAGTGGCTTGTCCGAGGCAGATCCATGAATAAAATCCAGGAGTGCTGACTCCCAGCTGCCCACCCCATTCCAATCATCAGACCCCACTCCCCTTCCAGGACTGGGGATAGAACCCAGGAATCCTGACTCACAGCCCCACCGTCCCACTCTAACCCCCGAGC